CACACCCACACCCACACCCCACACCCACACCCCACACCCCACACCCACACCCCACACCCCACACCCCACACCCACACCCACACCCCACACCCCAGACCCACACCCCACACCTCACACCCACACCCCACACCCACACCCCACACCCCACACCCACACCCACACCCACACCCACACCCATACCCCACACCCACACCCCACACCTCACACCCACACCCACACCCACACCCACACCCCACACCCCACACCCACACCCCACACCTCACACCCACACCCCACACCCCACACACACACCCACACCCCACACCCCACACCCCAAAACCACACTCACACCCACACCACACACCCACACCCACACCCCACACCCCACACCCCACACCCACACCACACCCCACACCCCACACACCAGACCCCACACTCACACCCCAGACCTCACACCCCACACCCACACCCACACCCACAACCACACCCCACACCCACACCCACAACCACACCCCACACCCCACACCCCACACCCACACCCAACACGCACACCCCACACCCCACACCCCACACCCACACCCCACAGCCCACACCCCACACCCACATCCACACCCCAAACCCCACACTCACACCCCACACACCACACCCACACCCCACACCCACACCCACACCCACACCCCCACACCCCACACCCACACCCACACCCACACCCACACACCAGACCCACACCCCACACCCCACACTCACACCCACACGCACACCCACACCCACACCCCACACCAACACCCCACACCCCACACCCCACACCCACACCCACACCCACACCCACACCCCACACCTCACACCCACACCCACACCCACACCCACACCCACACCCCACACCTCACACCCACACCCACACCCACACCCCACACACACACCCCACACCCCACACCCACACCCACACCCACACCCACACCCCATACCCCAGACCCACACCCCACACCTCACACCCACACCCACACCCACACCCACACCCACACCCCACACCCCAGACCCACACCCCACACCCACACCCACACCCCACACACACACCCACACCCCACACCCCACACACACACCCACACCCCACACCCCACACCCCAAACCGCACTCACACCCACACCACACACCCACACCCACACCCCACACCCCACACCCCACACCCACACCACACCCCACACCCCACACACCAGACCCCACACTCACACCCCAGACCTCACACCCCACACCCACACCCACACCCACAACCACACCCCACACCCACACCCACAACCACACCCCACACCCCACACCCACACCCCACACCCACACCCACACCCACACCCCACACCCACACCCACACCCCACACCCACATCCCACATCCCACATCCACACCCCAAACCCCACACTCACACCCCACACACCACACCCACACCCCACACCCACACCCACACCCCACACCCCACACTCACACCCCACACCCACACCCACACCCACACCCCACACCCCAGACCCACACCCCACACCCCACACTCACACCCACACTCACACCCACACCCACACCCCACACCAACACCCCACACCCCACACCCCACACCCACACCCACACCCACACCCACACCACACACCCACACCCCACACCCACACCCCACACCTCACACCCACACCCACACCCACACCCCACACACACACCCCACACACACACCCCACACACACACCCCACACCCCACACTCACACCCCACACCTCACACCTACACCCACATCCACACCCACACCCCACACCCCACACCCACAACCACACCCCACACCTACACCCCACACCCACACCCACACCCACACTCACACCCACACCCACACCCCACACACACACCCACACCCCACACCCCACACCCCACACCCAACCCCACATCCACACACACCCCACACCCCACACCCCACACACACCCCACACCCACACCCCACACCCAACCCCACACCCACACCCCACACCCCACACCCACAACCACACCCCACACCTACACCCCACACCCACACCCACACCCACACTCACACCCACACCCACACCCCACACACACACCCACACCCCACACCCCACACCCCACACCCACAACCATACCCCACACCCACACCCCACACACACACCGCACACCCACACACACCACACCCACACCCCACACCCGCACCCCACCCCCCACACCCCACACCCCACACCCACACCCACAAACCACACCCAACCCCACACCCACACCCCACACCCCAGACCCCACACCCACACCCACACCCACACTCACACCCACACCCACACCCCACACCCACACCCCACACCCACACCCCACACCCCACACCCTAGACCCCACACCCACACCCACAACCACACCCCACACCCACACCCCATACCCCACACCCACACCCACAACCACACCCCACACCCACACCCCACACCCAACCCCACATCCACACCCCACACACACACCCACACCCCACACCCCAGACCCCACACCCACACCCACAACCACACCCACACCCACACCCCACACCCCACACCCCACCCACACCCACACCCCAGACCCCACACCCACACCCACAACCACACTCACACCCACACCCACACCCCACACACCACACCCCACACCCACACCCCACACCCACAACCATACCCCACACCCACACCCCACACACACACCGCACACCCACACACACCACACCCACACCCCACACCCGCACCCCACACCCCACACCCCACACCCCACACCCACACCCACACCCACAAACCACACCCAACCCCACACCCACACCCCACACCCCACACCCCACACCCACACCCACAACCATACCCCACACCCACACCCCACACACACACCGCACACCCACACACACCACACCCACACCCCACACCCGCACCCCACACCCCACACCCCACACCCACACCCACACCCCACACCCACACCCCACACCCACACCCCACACCCCACACCCCACACCCCACACCCACACCCACAACCACACCCCACACCCACACCCCAGACCCCACACCCACACCCACAACCACACCCCACACCCACACCCCACACCCAACCCCACATCCACACCCCACACACACACCCACACCCCACACCCCAGACCCCACACCCACACCCACAACCACACCCCACACCCACACCCCACACCCACACCCCACACCCACACCCCACACCCCACACCGCAGACCCCACACCCACACCCACAACCACACCCCAAACCCACACCCCACACCCAACCCCACATCCACACCCCACACCCCACACCCACACCCACAACCACACCCCACACCCACACCCCACACACACACCCCACACCCACACACACCACACCCACACCCCACACCCACACCCACACCCCACACCCACACCCACACCCACACCCACACCCCACACCCACACCCCACACCCACACCCCACACCCACACCCCACACCCACACCCCACACCCCACACCCACACCCACAACCACACCCCACACCCACACCCCACACCCAACCCCACATCCACACCCACACCCACACCCCACACACACACCCACACCCACACCCCACACCCACACCCCACACACACACCCCACTCCCCACACCCCACACCCACACCCCACACACACACCCCACACCCCACACACACAGCCACACCCCACACCCCACCCCCCACACACACACCACACACCCCACACCTCACACCCCACACCCCACACCCCACACCCACAACCACACCCCACACCCCACACCCCACACCCCACACCCACAACCACACCCCACACCCACACCCCACACCCCACACCCCACACTCCACACCCACAACCACACCCCACACCCCACACCCAACCCCACATCCACACACACACCCCACACCCACACCCCACACACACACCCCACACCCACACCCCACACCCAACCCCACACCCACACCCCACACCCCACACCCACAACCACACCCCACACCTACACCCCACACCCACACCCACAACCACACTCACACCCACACCCACACCCCACACCCCACACCCCACACCCACAACCACACCCCACACCCACACCCCACACCCCACACCCACACCCCACACCTCACACCCACACCCACACCACACACCCACACCCACACCACACACACCACACACCCACACCCCACACCCACACCCACACCCCACACCCACACCCCACACCCAACCCCACACCCACACCCCACACCCACACCCCACAACCACACCCCACACCCCACACCCACACCCACACCCCACACCCACACCCCACAACCACACCCCACAACCACACCCCACACCCCACACCCACACCCATACCCCACACCCCACACCCACACCCCACAACCACACCCCACACCCCACACCCCACACCCACACCCACACCACACACAGCACACACACACACCCCACACCCCACACCCCACACACCACACCCACACCCACACCCCACACCTCACACCCCACACCCCACACACCACACCCACACCCCACACCCACACCCACACCCACACCCCACACACACACCCCACACCCACACCCCACACCCCACACCCACACCCCACACCCCACACACCACACCCACACCCCACACCCACACCCACACCCCACTCCCATCCCCACACCCCACACCCCACACCCCACACCCACACCCCACTCCCATCCCCACACCCCACACCTCACACCCACACCCCACACCTCACACCCCACACACACACCCCACACCCCACACCCACACCCCACACCACACCCACACCCCACACCACACCCACACCCACACCCACACACCACACCCACACCCCACACCCCACACCTCACACCCCACACACACACCCCACACCCACACCCACACCCACACCCCACACCACACCCACACCCACACCCCACACAGCACACACACACACACACCCCACACCCACACACCACAACCCACAACCCAAGCTTGCAGGAATGAAAGTCACTCAGCTGGACTTGCCACCCATCTGACTGACTCCCCTTGGGGTCGGGGAGGCTTCAGGGTCTCACACCTTCCAGGGAATGTTCGGTTGTGAGCTCCTGAATAACAGCAGCAGTGGAGCGTTCTGGAGGTATGCCTACGATGGACAGGATTTCATAGAGTTCAACAAAGAAATCCCAGCCTGGATCCCCTTAGACCCAGCAGCTGCGAACACCAAACAGAAGTGGGAGGCAGAAAAGGTCTACACACAGCGAGCCAAGGCATACCTGGAAGAGGAGTGCCCTGCAATGCTGAAGAGGTACCTCAACTACAGCAGATCTCACCTGGACCAAAAAGGTGTGCACTGTTTTGATTATCTACTCCAAGTTCTGAACTGAAAGCTAAGGTGATCTCAGCCTTAGGGGACCATGGCTGGTTGATTAATCAACCCCTGTTAGTCCCTTAGTCCCACAGCTTTCATCTACTAGGATTCGTTCCTTCTGAAGGCATGATGTGAACACCAAAGGGAATGTTCATCAAAACTTCAAGTGGGAAGAGCTAAGGTGTATAGATCTGTTTAAGAGCATCTTCCCAGAATCCCCCAGTGAGGGCTGGGGTGTGGCTCAGGGGTAGAGCACCTGCCTAGAATCCCCCAGTGAGGGGCTGGGGTGTGGCTCAGGGGTAGAGCACGTACCTAGCTATGTACAAGAGTCTAGATTTAATCTTCAGCACAAAACAAAAAAAGTCAGAAACAAAGCTGACTGAATGGCAAGGTTCCATAAATAACCCTCACTTTACAGCACACGCTGCAATCCCAGCACTCAGAAGGCTGAGCCTAGAGGATTGCCATGAGCTCAGGGCCAGCCCACATGGAAAGCACCAAGCCAGCTGTACCCTGTCTCTGAAGGGGCGGAAGGGCTGGACAAGGAAAGAAAGAAAACAGGGACTCAGCTTTAGCTGAATCCAGATTCCAAACTCCACAGTAGTTCCTCGACACCGCGACGCCCCTCGTCTTGTGTGCAGCGAGGAGTGGGTGTGTAAAACATCTGGCTAGGAGGAATGAACAGGCAGGCGCAGAATCAGTGCCGCACACTGAGACTTCCACTGGAGAACGGGGAGAACAGGAGAACGCTTAAGGGACAGAGATGTGGACAGAACTGAGGAGCTGGGCTGAGATGGCACGGGGTGTTGGGACTATACAGCACACTCAAAACACTCAGTCTGGGCATGGTGATGCATGTCAGTAACCCCAGCACTCGGAGCAGGAACGTCACAAGTTCAAGGCCAGCCTGGGCTATGTAGCAAGATCCTGTCTCTGTGTTTTGTTATCTCTCTCTCTCTCTATCTATCTCTCTCTCTCTGTCTCTCTCTCTCTTTCTGTCTGTCTCTCTCTGTCTGTCTCTCTCTCTGTGTCTCTGTGTGTGTACATATGTATATAAGCATACATGTATGTATAAGGGTGTATTGTGTGATGGTACATGTGTGGACATTGGAAGACAGCCTGAGCTGTAGGTCCCCACTTTCTGCCTTGTCTGAGACCCCAGGCTAGCCTGCCCCACCATCTTTCAGTTATCTCCCTGTCACCACATATGAGCTCTGAGAATAGAGACATGCATGACTGCATCCAACTTTCACATGTGTTCTGGAGATTTAAACTTAGACCATCATGTTTACGGAGCAAGCCCTTTACCCACTAAGCCATCTCCCCAACCCTGCCTCAGTCTGTTGCCAACTGAAGTCAACACACCATAACACGAGGCACGGAGTGCGAGGGTATCTGTGGACATACCACGTAACCCAACAGAGAAGGCTTGGGGGAAGCCTCGGGCCTGCCTGAGCTTCACAGAGGTCTCTTGGAGGAGTCAGACTGGATGGTCATGAAGGGAGTTAGGAAAAAAGGCATGGAAGGAAAAAACCCACCTTACACTCTCAATGTCCACACTTTATCCTTCCCCAGATCCTCCCGCTGTGACCATCACCAGCCGTGCAGCCCCAGGAAGAAACAGGATATTTAAATGCCTGGCCTATGACTTCTACCCACAAGGAATTAGTCTGCACTGGAACCGGGCTGGCAAGATGCTGGCATCTGAATCAGGAGGTGTTTTACCCAGTGGGAATGGCACTTACGTATCCTGGGTGGAGGCTGAAGTCCCTGCTCAGGACACAGACCCCTACTTCTGCCACGTAGAGCACAGTGGACTGTCCCAGTCTCTCTCGGTGCAGTGGGATGCCACAAGGAGGGCAAAAGCTGAAAGCAACGTAGCAGCTCAGCCTCAGCGAGTCACTCTCCCTGCGTGACTCGAGAGAGCCGAACGGCAGAAGTCAACGTCACGAGCTCTTCCATGGGCAGCTCTACAGCAGCTAACAAATCCAAGAACCGGTGTGGGGACAGAAGACCTGAGCACCAAGCACTGAGTTCATGCTCCATGTCAAGCCCCCTGACCTTGTAGAACTTCTCACTGATTAACCTGTAAGCCCTCAAATGACCCTTGTGCCTAGCACTGCCCAGAGTGACGTTTTAACCTCAGAGATGCTATAAAAGTGTGAGTTGATCGTCATGTGTCCTGTGTAGTTGTTTTGTTTTGTTAACTCTTTGGAGGCCTGCCACCCAGCTTCTAAATAAATACACAGAGACTTATTCTTATTTATGAATGCATGGCCTTAGCTTGGCTTGTTTCTAGCCAGCTTTTCTAACTTAAATTAATATTCCACATTTTGCCTCTGGGCTTTTTACCTTTCTTTATTCTATGTGTCTTTCTTCCTTCTTACTACATGACTGGTTGTGTGACTGGGTGGCTGGCCCCTGGCGTCCTTCTCTCCTCCTTTTCTTTCAAGACTTTAAATTTATTTATTTATTTATTTACTTATACATACCTGTATTCTGCCTGCATGAAAGAAGAGGGCACCAGATCTCATTACAGATGGTTGTGAGCCACCATGTGGTTGCTGGGAACCGAACCTGGGTCCTCTGGAAGAGCAGCAAGTGCTCTTAACCTCTGAGCCATCCCTCCAGCCCTCCTCCCTTTCTTGTCCCTCCCTCTTCTCAGTTTTCTTTTCTAGCCTAGATTTCTCCTCCTATTTATTCTCTATGCAAGGCATCCCTGCCTATTTCTCTCTCCTGCCTAACTATTGACCATTCAGCTCTTTATTAGACCAATCAGGTGTCTTAGACAGACAAAGTAACACAGCTTTACAGAGTTTTTTAAAAATACATCATAAACCAAACAGAAACTCAACAAAGAAGCAAAAGGGCTAATAGAAGTAATGACCCAACTGGGATTAACAGATATCTATAGAACATTTCATCCACATAAAAAAGAATATACCTTCTTCTCACCACCACATGGAACCTTCTCAAAAATCGACCACATACTTGGCAACATATCAAACCTCAGCAGCTACAAAAAAATTGGAATAACTCCATGCATCTTATCAGACCACCATGCTTTAAAATTAGAATTCAACAACAACACAAATTGCAGAAAACCTACAAACTCATGGAAATTGAATAATGCTCAACTGCACCATCCCTGGGTCAAAGAGGAAATAAAAAAAGAAATTAAAGACTTCCTCGAATTCAATGAGAATGAAGACACAACATACCCTAACCTATGGGACACTTTGAAAGCAGTGCTACGGGGGAAGTTCATAGCGCTAAATGCTCACATGAAGAAACAGGAGAACAGTTATACCAGAGAATTAACATCACAGCTGAAAGCTCTAGAACACAAAGAAGCACACTCCCCCAGGAGGAGTAGACGCCAGGAAATAATCAAATTGAGGGCTGAAATCAATAAAGTAGAAACCAGGAAAACAATACAAAGAATCAACGCAACGAAGAGTTGCTTCTTTGAGAAAATCAACAAGATAGACAAACCTTTGTCCAAACTTACCAAACAGCAGAGAGTGAACACGCAAATTAACAAAATTAGAAATGAAAACGGGGACATAACAACAGACTCTGAGGAAATCCAGAGAATCATTAGGTCATACTTTGAAAACCTGTACTCCACAAAATTCGAAAATTTAAAGGAAATGGATGACTTCCTGGACAGCTATCAATTGCCAAAACTAAATCAAGAACAGATAAGCAATTTAAATAGACCTATAACCCCTATGGAAATAGAAGCTGTCATCAAAAGTCTCCCAACCAAAAAAAGTCCAGGTCCAGATGGCCTTAGTGCAGAATTCTACCAGAAATTCAAAGAACAGCTTATACCAATTCTTCTCAAAGTGTTCCACACAATAGAAGCAGAAGGGTCTTTGCCAAACTCTTTCTATGAGGCTTCAATAACCTTGATCCCCAAGCCACACAAAGATACAACTAAGAAAGAGAACTTCAGACCAATATCCCTCATGAACATTGATGCAAAAATACTCAATAAAATACTGGCAAATCGGATCCAAGAACACATCAAAACAATCATTCACCACGATCAAGTAGGTTTCATCCCAGGAATGCAGGGATGGTTCAACATACGAAAATCCATCAACGTAATCCACCATATAAGCAAGCTGAAAAACAAAAATCACATGATCATCTCACTAGATGCTGAAAAAGCCTTTGACAAAATCCAACACCCCTTCATGATAAAGGTCTTGGAGAGATCTGGGATAACAGGGACATACTTAAACATAATAAAAGCTATATACAGTAAACCAACAGCCAACATCAAACTAAATAGACAGAAACTCAATGCAATTCCTCTAAAATCAGGAACAAAACAAGGCTGTCCACTCTCTCCATACCTTTTCAACATGGTACTTGAAGTTCTAGCTATTGCCATACGACAACAAAGGGGGATCAAGGGGATACAAATTGGGAAGGAAGAGGTCAAACTTTCACTGTTTGCAGACGATATGATAGTTTACATCAATGACCCAAAGAACTCTACCAGGGAACTCTTACAGCTGATTAACACCTTCAGCAAAGTGGCAGGCTACAAGATCAACTCAAGAAAATCAATAGCCCTGCTATATACAGATGATAAAAGGGCTGAAAGAGAAGTCAGAGAAACATCACCCTTTACAATTGCCACAAACAACATAAAATACCTTGGGGTAACGCTAACCAAACAAGTGAAAGACCTGTATCGTAAGAACTTTGAATCTTTAAAGAAAGAAATTAAAGAAGCCCTCAGAAAATGGAAAGATCTCCCATGCTCTTGGATAGGTAGGATCAATGTAGTAAAAATGGCAATCCTGCCAAAAGCAATCTACAGATTCAATGCTATCCCCATTAAAATCCCAGCACAATTCTTCACAGACCTTGAAAGAACAATAATCAATTTTGTATGGAAAAACAAAAGACCCAGGATAGCCAAAACAACCCTGTTCAACAAGGCAACGTCCGGAGGCATCACCATCCCTGACCTCAAGCTCTATTATAGAGCTATAGTCCTGAAAACAGCTTGGTATTGGCACAAAAATAGACAGGTAGACCAATGGAATCGAATTGAAAACCCGGGTATTAACCCACACACATACGAACATCTGATCTTTGACAAAGAAGCTAAAAATATACAATGGAATAAAGAAAGCATCTTCAACAAATGGTGCTGGCATAATTGGAGACTGGCATGTAGAAGAATGCAGATCGATCCATGTCTATCGCCATGCACAAAACTTAAGTCCAAATGGATCAAAGACCTCAACATAAATCCAGCCACACTGAACCTCTTAGAAGAGAAAGTGGGTGGTACCCTTGAACGAATTGGTACAGGAGACAGCTTCCTGAACATAACACCAGTAGCACAGGCAGTAAGATCAACAATTAATAAATGGGACCTACTGAAACTGAGAAGGTTCTGTAAGGCAAAGGACACAGTCAGCAAGACAAAAAGGCAGCCCACAGAATGGGAAAAAATATTCACTAATCCCACATCTGACAGAGGGTTGATCTCCAAAATTTACAAAGAACTCAAGAAGCAAGTCTCCAAAACACCAAAGGACCCTATTAAAAAGTGGGCTGCAGAACTAAATAGAGAGTTTTCAATAGAGGAGTCTAAAATGGCTGAGAGGCACTTGAGAAAGTGCTCAACATCCTTAGCCATCCGGGAAATGCAAATCAAAACAACTCTCAGATACCATCTCACCCCTGTCAGAATGGCTAAAATCAAAAACACCAATGACAATTTATGCTGGAGAGGATGTGGTGAAAGGGGGACACTCCTCCATTGCTGGTGGGAGTGCCAACTGGTTCAGCCACTTTGGAAATCAGTGTGGAGATTCCTCAGAAAAATGGGAATAAACCTACCACAAGACCCAGCAACTCCACTCTTAGGCATATATCCAAAAGATGCCCATTCATACAACAAAGAGGTCTGTTCCACTATGTTCATAGCAGCTTTATTTGTAATTGCCAGAACGTGGAAGCAACCTAGATGTCCCTCACCTGAAGAGTGGATAGAGAAAATGTGGTACATCTACACAATGGAGTACTATTCAGCAGAAAAAAATAATGGAATCATGAGATTCGCAGGCAAATGGATGACACTAGAAGAAACCATCCTGAGTGAGGTAACCCAGTAACAAAAAGAGAAACATGGCATGTACTCTCTCATATATGGATTTTAGACATAGATCTGGGGAGTGCCAGCCTACAATCCTATGGCCAGAGAGTCTGGGAAACAGAAACTTTATTTAGTGGCTGATCGAAGAAGAGGCAGACTCCCTTGGTTAAGTACTGAGCTGAACTCAAGAAAGCCAGTAACAGAGAGGGAGGACTGATGATCAAAGGGATTAAGACTGGGCTGGTTTAACCCCCAGAAACAGCTGACCAGACAAAGGTTAACTCTTGAATCCCAGGCATTAGCCTGGGAAGCCAGCATGGGACTGATCAAGACCCCCTGAATCTGGGTGTCAGTGAAGAGGCCTAGGGAATCTATTGAGCCTTGGGCAGCAGATCAGTACCCATCCCAAGTATACACACGGACTTTGGACTCCAATAGAACAATGTGAGGTGCACTCTCACCCAGAACTCTTGGGAAAGGGTCTAGGCCCTGCCCTATATGAAATGACACACTATGGACACCCCCATGGAGGGCCTCACCCTCCCTGGAGAAATGAGAGGATAACGGGGGGGGGGGGAGGGGAGGGCACGGGAGGAAGGGAGGGAATGGGAGAGGGACCTGGAACTGACTTGTGAAGCAACCTTGATTCTTATCTAAATTTAAACTGGAAAATAAAATTTAAAAAAAAAGAAAAAAAATACATCATAAAATAATGCAATACCTCTTTTCATTCTTAAACAAATATTCCACAGCATCAACGACTGTAGCACATCTTAAACTAATACTCCACAACAGTCCCATTGCCATATTTGATTCACGGGAATGCTCTCATATTCACCCAAAGATGCCCTCGTTTCATTCCTGTGGCTGTGAAAAGACAACCTGACAAAGTCCGTTTTAAGAGAGAAAGGGTTTATCTGGCTTACACTTCCAGGTCTCTTGTTACATGATGCTATTCCTGGGGAGGCATGAAGAAACATCTACTAACCCCACTTAGAGAGCCAACTGCAGCTCGGAGAAAGGATGTCACCCAAGGTCCCACCTGG